CTGTGATCCTGTGGCCAGCATGATTGCACAGAATGCTGTTTAACTTCCTACCAGTGGTACCTATCTATCTACTTGCACTTTTACATGCTTTCAAACTGTGAGGTTGGCAGAAGCTGGGACTAGTAAACTAGCAAAATTAAAATTATACCTTCAAATTACAATATCATATGCATAACGTAAATGTATTTACATACACATAGTGAAGATTTAGTCAAAATTTGATTTTTTTAAAAAAAGAAAATTTTAAAAGAATGTAAAGAAATTAAAATATCAATTTTTAAAAAAATTTATTAAAAATTAAAATTTAAAATTTGAAATGTTAATTTTAAAAAATTCTGAGGCCTCTCCTTTCTCCTCCAATAAGCTTCACTCCACTCCCACCATCTCTTAAAAGCATTTTAATGGGAAGCAGATGAATACCACAGCCCGTTTCTTCCAAAAGGTAGGTGTTTGAGGAGCACTCCATTTAGGGTGCCACCTGGTGCGGCCCGCACTCCCCTAGTGACGCCACTAATGATACCTATTCCTTCCTTGGAGGTCTTTAAGCAGAGGCTGGATGGCCATCTGTCAGGGATGCTTTGATTGGGAATTCCTGCATGGCAGGGGGTTGGACTGGATGGCCCTTGTGGTCTCTTCCAACTCTATGATTCTATGATTCTATGATTCTATTTGTGTCAGCAAATAAAACCACAAATTCTCCTTCCACCTGTGTGAACATTGGCATAATTGCACCAGGGCAACAAACTCATATTTTTGTCAATATCATAGGTGTCCTGAATACAAGTCAGAAAGTGCCCAAGGAAGCAAATAGATGATGATGAATGGTCAGTCCAGTCCAAGTAGGTCACAGGTTACTTAAGCAGGATGCAAGGAGAATCACAAGGGTTGTCCTTAGCCAGTCCAGAAATCCAATATATGGGGGGATGCAGATGCGAAAAACGCCGTCTCCAATCCCAGGAAGGGGAAGGCAGACAGACGCTGGGCGCCCCACCCCCTACCTGAGGACATCATCAGAGTGACGGCTTGTCCACATGACGGGCGCTCCAATGACGTCCTTCCAGCTCAGCATCCTGACATGCTGAGCCAGAAGAGGTGCCGAAAAAGCGTACCATGCCTCTTGGGGCGCTCCTTTCACGGCTTGCAGAAGGAGCCCTATTTTAGTGCTTCTTTCGCAGGCGGCGAAAGGGAGGATCGAGGCTGAGGTGTCCGGCAGCCTTGGCCTCGATCCTCCACTTTCGGGGGTGGCCCAGGGCCGCCCGTCTGCTTCCCCCCATATATACACTGAAAAAATTGAGTTGTCTATTCCCTAATTCACATCTAATGGCTAAGGACAAAAGATATGACATGGATTCCTCCCAGGCCAAGATATTATGTAAATACATTTCACTAAACAATAAAATCAATGACCAGATTTAAAGCAGCTTCATTTATATACTGCTTCATATGGGGTGTCTACGCGGTTTACAACTATAAGCTCATTGCCCCCCAATAGTTGGGTACTCAT